ATTCTATATTCTGCTAGGAAATCTCCTTAGTGAAAGCCACAAGCTTATTAGGTTTGTTTTCTATCTTCCCTGTTACTGCAAGTGTCAGGTTCTCTAATTTCTCTGCTACTGCTGAACTCGGGTCACCATCTCTGCAGCTTTGAATGCAGTTTCTTCACTGCCTGTCCAGCCTTTACTAAAAGTCTCCCATTCCTCTAGGCTTGCTAACCTCCCCCATGCTATCTGGCCCCAAAGCTTGTACAGTAGTTCCCCTTTATCTGCAGGGGATACGTTCCAAGACCCCCAGTGGCTGCCAGAAACCACAGGAAGTACTGAACCCAACTGCTGTCAATTGGACCACGCTTCCGTTCATGGCTTCCACCCACAGATTTAATGCCTTTCCATCTTAACAAAGCACTTACCATGCACCATGGCCGTAACTTTTGCAGTTTGAGGTGCAAAAGCAAAATAAACACACATTTCTTTTTCCCTTCTTGACGATTTCATGGATAGAAGATTCATTAATACTGTAGATCTTAGCAACCTTAGCAGACGATTTTTTTCCCTTTACTTATTAAGTCCACAACTTTCACCTTTTCACTTAAAGGAAGCACTTCACGGCTTCTCTTCAGCATATCCAGATTGCCACCATCACTCCTCTTGTGCTTTGGGAACATCATTAAGTAAAGTAAGGGCGACTTGAACACAAACTTTGTGATGCTGAGACAGTCCATCTGATAACTGAGATGGCCACTAAGTGTCTAATGGATCGGTAGTGTCTACAGCACGGGGACGCTGGACAAAGTGATGGTTCACATCCCAGGGGAGATGGAGTAGGACAGAGTGAAATGTCAAAATGCTCCCATCAGATGTGGCTAGACTGGGGGGAGTTTCCAGGAGGGCCCCCATCACACATCCGAGGTCTTGGGCAGGCTGTCAGTGGGGGTGTTTTTTCTCTCCACATGATCTCTCAACACATAGGAGTATAGGCCTGGCTTCCTTGCAGGGCAGTGAGCAGTCACAAGAATGTAAAAATGGCCCAATTCATTTTTCTGTCCCATAGTTTTACAGCAAAGATGATAGAGCTTAGCAGTTAAATGCATAAGCTGTGGGCACAGACTTCCTGAGTTCAACTCCCAGCTCCTCCTCCTCCATCCTGTGTGACCTCATATGAATGACTCACCCCCTCTGTCCCTTAGCACTGAGCTCGTTGGGGAGGGTGAAGGATTAAATGGACGAATGCAGGCACAATCCTGGCCAACAGATCATAAACTGCTTGTCACCTGAAACCACACTGTGCACACAAGTTGGAGTCCTGCTTTTTCCCCACAGCATAATTTCTTCAAGTCTTAAAAAAGGCTTCAAAAGGCTGCATCATAGTCAGTGTGTGGGTATCCCCTGATGGGCTTGATCTAACCAATCCCCTAATGGAGCACATTTAGGTAGTTTCCAAATTTCCGGTATTGTCAATGAAAATACAACATATGTTTCATAAATGCTTCTGCATTTAGGACAGGCAGTGCTAGAAAATTTCTTAAGAATTGAAGACAAGCCTTTGATACACTTAGCCCAACTTCCTATGAAAATCTCCCTGCAGGAGGGTGTGAGGGGAGCCTGTGGAACCGCCCCCCCCAGTTCCTCTGCATCTGGGAATGTCCCTGGTGAAGACAGGCACAGATGGGGAGAGAGCAGACCCAGCCCAGAGGCATAGAGGTGCTCGGCTGCTGCTGTGGCTGGAGTCCCTCATGTCACTGTGTTGTATTCTCTCCTGGTGATGGCTGCGCCTCCATCTCTGGGCTTAGCCAGACTCACCCGGCTCGGTGGTCCCATGTTGGCCACCAGCTGGCTGGAGTCCCTCATGTCACTGTGTTGTATTCTCTCTTGGTGATGGCTGCACCTCCATCTCTGGGCTTAGCCAGACTCACCCGGCTCGGTGGTCCCATGTTGGCCACCAGCTGCTCCCTCCTGAAGCAGGAGGGGTCCAGGGTCAGACCTTCAGGGACAGAGGTGCCAGTGGATGGGCAGGGGGAGGATCCCAGGGGACTTGGGGACAGAGCATCAGTGGCTCAGCACAGAGAGGGCTGGGGGCTCACACAGAGGAGGGCCTGAGGGAGGGAGTGGGCAGCCCCCGTGTCCCGACCCTAGATGAGGTAAGGGTGAGATGTGGCCACACGGACAGGGCTGGTGTCGGCACAGAGCAGCCTGGAGGCCAAGGAGACACCAGCTTCCTGGGCTGGTTGGGGGCTCAGAGACAAACGGTGCCTTCAAGGTCCCTGGCACCTCTCTGCATCTTTCTTTTTTCTCCC